TGCTACAGGGATAGCTGCGCATGGGTACGACTGGAGAGCCAATCGGCGCAACGCACGCCCACCCGCGCACCTCGTTTCCCCCCAACACAGTGCTGTCATATCTACCAACTTTTTGGTAGTCTACCAATTTTCACTTCAGTCTACCTATCTACCACCGTAGACCTAAAAACTACCTATTTTTTAATGAGGGCTACCGTTTTCTGCCTCACCAGATGGCGCCACTGTTGAGTGAGGTCCTAAATTGTAACTTTTAAAGTTTATTAATACGCACATGAAATCAAAGGTTACATTTAGATCGTATTTTAACACAAAAGAACCATATCCTAAACATAATAGGCCATGCCACAGTGACGCGCAGTTCCGTTTTATTCGGAAAAAATGGGAACATAATCATTTTTCTAAGCTCAAATTTTTAATAACTGACATTCATTGCCACATAACTCATATTTGCCATAATTAAGCCGAATTGTTACCAATTATTCACAACATTATTTTAATTAGAAATAAACCCGCGTAGTCAACCAACAAGCAATAACATTTGACATTTCGGAGACCTCACGCTACACTAGCGCCTCTAGCGGCGGATTCATACGCGATAGCCCTCATTAGTTTGACATATCACCACTTTGAATTATTTTTATATCGACGTTGCGATGTATTGCGTGAGCCATGCAACGATGCGTCAAGCATACATAGAGTCCAGACCATAAACCACAAAAAAACGTCAGCTACAGTTCGCCATGAGTTCGGCGTTCGCACAATTTCGCACCCATATTTTACTATTCCTAATGTGGCCTATTCCCGGTTGGTTTGTTGCGCAATCAATGTTGAATCTTTGCTCCTGTTTTATTGTAGAAACTAATTAACTGCGTATTAACGGTGCTGATTGCTGTTTGTTCTATGTTGCGTGCATTTATTTATATAATGGATTTTGCGAAAGCGATGCACATAGTTCTAGGTTAGGAACTCCGCCACGAAAACTTAGAAAAAGGCACTATGACCAAAAATATTTGAAACTATGGGAGAAAGACAAGGAATTTGCAGGTTGGCTTCAAGAGGGTTCTAAGAGTGACGGATATTTTTATTGCAAATCATGTAGGTGTGATCTGACACACTTCAGCGTTGCATGCATTTTTAATCTTAAATAATCTTCTAAATTGAGATGGTAGATCTACCAATTTTGCATTTTACATTCTACCAACTTCTACCAACATTTGGCACATAATCTACTAATTTTCTAAAATTCGGGTTGGCAGCACTGCCCCAACACATCTTAATTTTTACTTCTGCGCAATAACGGTCAGCGCTAGAGTTTCGTGCCGCGACTTACGAGTGTAACGGTTACCACTAATGCAAGTCTGATCGTTTTTGTTATTTGAATATGCGTCTTCAATAGTATTAGAACGTAGAATAAGATAACAACCAAATAGAACGCATTTGTTGTCTATCAGTAAATACAACTCCTATTAGCAGTATACAGATTGTGTTGTATAAACAATATGTGAGATTGAGAAATGCAATACACTTCCGGTAAGACTCCCGCACCGAGAGTGTATTGCGGTGTTACCGACGGTTTTGGACTTTAGTTTGCCATAAATTATCATACTAAAAGTAAGTTTCCTCATTGTGTGTACCTACAATGCGATGAGATGACGCTGCCTTGCAGCTTAAGGCTAGGAAAATTTCGCCGCGGCCATGAGGGCCGTGGTAGCATAATTGGTCAGTGCATTCGCCCGGATTGCGAAGGCTGCAGGTTCGAGTCCCGTCCGCTGCCTGGTGCGTGTGGATTTTTTCTAGTAAAACTTTTCTTTAAATATATTATGTGGTTAAAATATCTACTTTATTTTAAAAATGAATATATTTTTGCTCTTTCATGCCTTAATTTTTTTTATTTCTAAGAACGCCTTTACTGCCGAAAATCTGCTTTAAGCAAAATATAGTAGTTCCGCCTACTATATATATTTTTTTAGAAATATAGTATTTGGTCCCCTAAAATAGAAGGATACTATATTATGGTAGTTTTCCAATTACAGAGCATAATGCGACTCAGTGCGCTTAGTTCAGTGTTGAAAAAAAAGTCAATGTTTCTACCTTCATCCATACTTATATTTATTTTTTTAACACAGTTTGAATTAACTTTGATTATTTAAAAAAACTACAATGATACGAAAGATTTTGAAAAAATTCAACAATAAATAATATTATATTACTAACGATAAATAAAACATTTCGATCAATGTCAACTTAAAGAAAAAACCCTTTGATTTTCTGTCACTGAGTTGGTACGATTGCACGCATCACACGAAAACATTAGTTTTGAGAGTGCTCGATTGTGCGAAGCGTTGCAGTAGTTGAAACATTCAACGTTAAGCATTATCCCGCATAATGCGCTCTAGTGCTGTAATTGGAAAACTACCAACATAGTAGGGTTGACAACCCTACCCTCATTACGCATTTACCGTATCATTGATCTTGCGCTGATCCGAAAGCTATTTAAAGACGTGATGCTCCTATTCCATCTGTTAGATGTTTTGATTGTTTGATGATTCCATTCGTTGGATGTTTAAGAAAGAAATTAAGGTGGCTATTTGTAAGCCAGCCAACATTTAAAAGAATAATCCCAATTCCAGGTTTTTATATATAGCGATTAAGTAGGGCTCCAGTTCAGGCCAAAATAATCGATTAATTCGAACGTTGAAGTAATGGCTTTTTTGTCCCAGTTGCTCAATCTTACAGGGGACTAGCTGACCCAGCGAACTTCGTACCGCCCTAAAAAAATAGGGGTTGTCCAGCGGACAAAATTGTGAATCTAAACCATTCTCAGATCCCCTTGAACACACACAAAAAATTTCATCAAAATCGGTCCAGTCGTTTAAGAGAAGTTCAGTGACATACACACTCACAGAAGAATTATATGTATAAAGATATATTGTTTTAAACTTTCATGGTCACCAACATTATAGCTATTAACAGGATTGTTACCATGTACTTTTTATAAGTCATGTTTTTTATAAGTCTCCGATATTTCGGCACTGTTTCAAGCGCCACGATCACGGAGTAACCGAAGTAATTGCGGGTACATGTTATTGGCAGACATATCGGTCTACCCTCTGAATTCGTATATGTAGGGAACAAGTGCGAGTGAATAGTGAGAATGTGACCAATGGTAGGGGTATCGAGCGCAGTAAAAGACGACGTCAGAGGGTAGACCGATATACCCAATAACATCTACCCGCAATAACTTCAGTTACTCCGTGATCATGGCGCTTGCAACAGTGCCGAAAAATCGGAGACTCAAAAAACAAGGTACATGGTAACAATCCCGTTAATAGCTATAACTTATAGGGCATCTTTAAGACTGGGATAAACCAAGCAGTATACCGATAAATTAGTATCATTACTTCGAATGTGATCTAATCGGTTGTGCTGGTGAGAATGGATGCTCATCTTGAGCATGAAGAATACGAAAGTACCTGTTGCGCAGTTTGAAACCTTCCCTGACATACAGGACATTGAGTACACATAAGATAAGCATGCATGACTTTCCATAACCTGTCTTAGTCTTAGTAGTACGGCGGGCTGTTTCCGCAACTCGACACCCGGTGCCTATTTTGCGTGGGGATTGGCATCAGTCCTGCCATCCCAGCTCCTCCAGAAAGCTCAGCAGTCCCCGAACGTTGCTGCAGGCCTCTACAATTGTCTTCGGGCTTCCCATTAGAGAAGTCCTTTGTCTTGCAACGCCACTGCATGCCAGTAGAAAATGGGCGCTCGTCTCCTCGTCCTCCAGGCAGGCTCTGCACAGAGGGCTGTCAGAAATACCTATATTACAAAGGTGTTTGTTGAAGTAGCCGTGACCATAACCATAACGTTCCATAACCTGTTCTGTGTGAATATATAATTCTAGTTTTAATTGAGAAGTAGAGCTCTGATTGGAGCGCTTGTCTGTGAAGCAATCTCCACTTTACTGAAGACCACAGTAAAATAACAAGCTACCTTTTGCTGGTGTTGTCTTTCTGATGTGTGAGTAGGGTGATGTGCGAGGAGCTCGATGGCGCAAGTGGTTAGCGCGTTCGGCTGCGATCTTTGAAGTTAAGCAACTTTCGTCATTGGATGGGTGACCAAAAATTTACTATCTCGAGTTCCTCCGTGCTTCGGAAGGCACGTTAAGCCGTTGGTCCCGGCTGCATCTGCAGTCGTTAGCACCCGCCAATCCGCACTTTGCCCGCGTGGTGGGTCATGGCCCAATCTCCCTATTCCATCCATAGGGAAGGCCTGTGCCCCAGCAGTGGGAGACATTAATAGGCTGATGATGATGAGTAGGGTTCAGGGCTTCGCGGGATCCCCTATCCTTGGGTTTGGGCCATCAAAGTCAAGATGGCGGGAGTGGCACATTTTCTGCTGCGTCATCTATCTTCGTGACTGGACTCCACCTACACCTCGGGTGGGCCAAGTATATAAAAATAAGGTGCGCAATATTCTGACGCTTCAGCTATCGAATGGCCTTCACTACACTTACTTCGGGGTAGGTTAATTCGGCGCGCCTTTTTAGAAAAAGACAGTTCAGGATAACAATAGGCAGAAAAAAGAAATGTAACTGCTCTATTGGAGTCGTTTAGGTATCAAACATGAATCGTCTCAGAGTGAATATAGATTCTTAATGTCGCCGCACACGGGCCACCGACCACAACAACAAAACGCCGCCACCGGCATATTTCTTGTAGCTTTCATACATTTTATATGGACTCGCCACACACGGCACGCCGGTGGCCGCCACACGCTACAAATCGTCGTTGCTCGCTTCTCGTCGCCGCCACACATCACTCGCGCGATTCCCCACCCCTCTCTCCCTTGCCTTAGTGGGCCGCTGTCGCGCGCTTCAGCCACTTTAGTAGCCGCTTCTAGCTACTCGTGGCGGCGTTTGTGGCTGTGGCGTGTGGCCCGTGTGCGGCGACACGTAATAGTTTATAGTTGAAATTTATACGATCTTTGTTTTGTTTTAGAAATGGCGTGAACGTAGAAGGATCCACCCATAGGCAGGTGGTTGACCTCATCAAGTCGGGCGGGGACTGCCTCACTCTCACCGTCATATCTGTCACACCGAGAGTGAGTACAAACAATGAAGCTGTAGAAAACGTTTCAGGGTAATTGCCGCATACAATTATCTCCCAACAATGGTAATTTTAAGTATTCGCGTTTAGCTGTATTATGTTTCGAGTTTTCAACTTAACTGTTTACTGTTTAGCTAGGGCTGCCATCTCTAAAATGTGGCAACCAGGATCAGAGGCGTGATAACCCCGGATTTTGGAGCCCAGAACCCGGACAGACCAATAAAAAAACAGTTAAAAATGTCACAAATCAACTTTTTTTTGTTGATGTAGGCAAAAGAGCTAGCGGTCTACCTCATAATAAGTGGTCACTGCTGCCCATGGACACTTGCAGCACCAAGGAAAGCTGATCTTTGTTGGAAGTGTGCATTTATGGTTACAGTGTTAGAATAGATTTATTCATTTTCAAAGACATTTACATTTACGGATTAATTGGCAACCCAAAACAGGAATATTTTAAACCCGGACGACAAATGAAACCCCGCCCGGACGCTCCCCGGACGCCCCGTAAACTAGGACAAATCCGGGGAAACCCGGACGGATGGCAGCCCTATGTTTAGCCAGCTCGAACTGTCTATTCTCTGTGTAGTCTCGTTTATTACTTTGTTTTTTGTTTAAAATAGAATGGAATCACAGTTGTACCTAAATTGGTTGATGTCTTATTTTCAATCACGACAAGTGTACGTTTCTTTCTTCCTAGAAATTAGTATACTTATTTTTTTTATAAGACAGTATCGCTAATATCTACAATCCACAAGTTTCTATCTTATATATAAAATTCACGTGTCGCAGTGTTTGTGGTTAAACTCCTCCGAAACGGCTTTCCCGATTCTCATGAAATTTTGTGTGCATATTGGGTAGGTCTGAGAATCGGACAACATCTATTTTTCATCCCCCTAAATGTTAAGGGTAATCCACCCCTATTTTTTTTTTCAATTTTAGATTTTTTTTTAATTTTTTTATGATACATCATACAAAAATACATACAACCCTAAATTTTCACCCTTCTACCACCAACCCCTATTTTTTATGCCGGTACGAAGTTAGCTGGGACAGCTAGTTTTTTTATAAATTCCTTCATCTTTGTGCGTAGGTGCTCTTATATAAACTAACTTATATCACAAAACTGCACTTGTGACGTATTTATATATATTACAGTTTAGGAACTAAGAAACCTCCCGGTTTAGATGCTAATACGGCACCTGTACTTGACTTATGTATCTGGACTGCCAGCGACTGCCGCCAGCTACTGTATAAGTCAATATCAATGTACCTAGCTGTTGAAATTAGCGGTGGGTCGTTTTCAAATTTTCTGACGACGAAACGCAACCGTTTTCACTTAAACGAAAACTAGTCCTCGAAACGGTTCTCGTTCGCAACTGATTTTGGTTGCGGCTGGGAGACGCAACGAAACGACACTCAACGGTCGAACGAATGTAACGCAACGAAACTGAACTAAATGAAATTTTGTTAACGTTCGTTTCGTTGCTGCGAACGAGACGAAACATCGAAATAAATGTAGTGTTATCTTAGATTAAAACAAAAAGGGTAGATACGGCACTAGCCTCACAAAAGTGATCTGCATAAATTGTGGTCCACGACATAAAAATTGCTGTTTGTTTTGAATCTTATTCGGTAGTGACGTCGAGTACTGGTCGCGTGATTGGTCGGTAATGCAGTGACGCGGATCTCGCCGTCTCGTTCGCGCTGCCGTTGAAACTTAACATGCTGTTTCGTTCGGGTCGGTAATGCAGTGTCGCGGATCTCGCCGTCCCGTTCGCGCTGCCGTGGGATCAGTTTTTGTTTGATGCAAGTATGAGCGTACCGTATCTACCCTATTTGTTTTAATCTAAGAGTGTTATACGATAATCGACTATAAATGTTCAGAAATAAAGATTATATTATTGTAAAATCAAAGCTTAATTTATCATAGAACGAAACGGCCTCATATCATTGCGTTCTATTATAGACTGTATTTACTTCATCATAAAGTACATATTGGCGTGCAGACAATCCGAGGAGTAGTTGTTCGACGAAGACTGTTTTGATCCGAAACGTAAAACGGTTCTATCGTCGCGGAACACAAAACGGTCCTTGAAACCGGTTCGTCTTTAGAACGCTCACATCTAGTTGAAATAATGCTTACTTGTTCCCAATGAGGGTGTTTATGAAAATTTACGTCACCAGTTAGCGCCACTGTGTCGTGAGGTCTTTTGTATGAAGTTTTTAACGCCAACTCCATAGACCAGATTCATAGACAATGAGATCATATGCGATTTGACGGATGATTAGACCTTTCGTCTCAGTACTGCCACCTGGTGCCTGTCATTCCAAAAAACCCTCATTGGATTTCAGTAAAGTGGTTATATCTGTACTACAAAAAACCTAGATCTTACTCTTTGTTTCGTAGGAAGCCGAACGCCTAGAACCATGCGACGACGGCTCAGCCCCAGTGGGCGTGATCGGAGGAGCGGCCAACTCCCGAGCCACAGTGTACCAACGTTACGACTACACTGACAAGCGGTCTCTGCCCGTGTCCATTCCGGACTACCGCGTGGTGATGGAGCGGAGTACAGGCCGCTCGTATGTGGCGTTCAACGTCCACATGGCCGGCAGGCACCTGTGCAGCAGGCGGTATAGGGAGTTCGCTGCACTACACCAGCAACTTAGGAAGGAATTCTTAGGTGAGTCCTGAAGCGATTGATCCTTTAACTACTAGTTTTTAAATTGCAAGGCGGGCAGAAAAAATAAGTGACCATTATTTTTTCTATAAATCTAACTGGCGTATTAATTATAATAGGCTAGTTGACCCTTTTTGGAATAAGGTTTTAAATGGTTAATAAATGTTCTATTAGACCGAAGAAAATGTATTGTATTTTTTTGAGACCTAGAAAGCTACAAATCATTATTTTAAAATAGACTTTTCATGGACATACAAAAACGCTGTCGACCATTTTAGTCTATAGATTATCTATGCTATGACGTCAACCTGTAGTAAACAAAAACTCGTAAGCACGTAGAAAATAACTTATCTGAGTTTATAATAAAAAAAAACATGATTTCTAATACATATACCACGAAAAATAAAGTAATTATCATTATTGTAGTGTACGAGAATATAAAAACACATCCTTGAAGACTCCAGGAAAGTTGTGGATTATTGTGCCGAAAGAAATTAACCTACGCAACTTTATTACACTTATTCATATGATATCAGTTTTATGTTTATGACTACATTGTAATACTAAATGCACTGTACTTACATAGATGCCTTGGCGTTTCTCTGCTCCGCAGAACAGTAATCGGGGTTTAGTGCAAAAAATTCACCAACCATCAATGCGTCAAATCTTGGCAGATTTGTGCTTTCTGCTTGCACAAAGCCGGCATCCATAATTAGTTTTGTCAAAAAAAAAACAGTAAACGGAAACTTTTTTTACAATTGTTTTAAGATAAATTTAGTCAGACGAAAGAATCCACCCACAGTAACACGCGAATGGCATTTCGTTGTTTACTACAACAAGAGACGTCACAATCATGGCGGATGTGGCGAACAGCGCTTTTAGTGTTTAAAAAAATATAGACTAAAAAATATTTTTTTAAATTAAATTTCTACAGCAATCTTCTGCTTTTATGAAGTGAAATCGATATATTAAGGTTCCTTAGACCAAATACTTTAAGAAATAAACATTTATTTAATACAATTCGACATGAGTCAACTAGACTATTCCGTTTACTTTATTTACCCCGTCATCATATCATCCTTTTTGCTGATCGAATTCCTGTTTTTCTTATTTTAGGTTTCAATTTCCCCAAATTGCCGGGGAAATGGCCGTTCACCCTGAGCGAACAACAACTGGACGCCAGGAGACGAGGACTCGAACAGTATTTAGAGAAAGTAAGTTTATATTTAAGGAATAGGGTATATGACAAGTTTTAGAAAACGATCTCACGTTATTGACTAATGTTAATGAAATCCGTAAAAAGTGCATATTCAGTATTTTGTTGTGTATTTCAGTAAAAATAACCAAATCAAAAACTCCATTGTCAAGTTGCCGCGAAAACGTTTTTCTGGACAATATGGCGTCTTACTAGTGTGTGACGTCACACGACTGTTATTAAAACGTCAAACGATACAATGTAATGTCACTTTAACCGGAAGTTTATTTGCGTGTGACGTCATTTTAGGCTCCGCCAATCCAAAGCGTTTTGGGTCACATGACAATAGATAAGAAAACTATTATCTATTTCATGGGTCTTTAGTAAAATAATGAATATGTTTTTTTGTAAAAATATTAAAAACTCCTGCCAATATTCATTCTAAACACAGATGCTAATAATTGGCACTTTATTTTTAATACTGTCAAATACCCTATTCTTAATAAGTCATTTCATTATTCTAGACTTAGGTATTATGAATTCGTACCCATTACTGATTATATGTGTAATGTGGAAAGGAAACGTAATATTTAACTGTTGATAGTAAGTAACTTGTTCATTGATAGTAAAATTTAACTAGAGTTAAATAAAAAGCCCAACGCGTTCTAATTCTATTAAGAATGGAAATTATGCTGATTGTTCTGTAATATGGTTATTATAATATTGCTTGCACCCCTCTGGCCTCAATTGTCGTAAACGCTATTTTGTGCCAAAATTAGTCAAAAATGCAGTTTTGTTTAATTGTTTTCGCTCTATCATGTGAGATGTAAGTATCAACAATGTAGCCAAAAAAGGTATTTTTTTTGTATTTTACTTCTCATGAAAAAGTCCGTTATGGCGTTTACGACAATTGAAGCCAGAGAGGTGTCGTGTATGATCTTTTGTTTTGATGACAATGAAGTTATGTAAATATTCAGTATCGTTGTAAAACCAAGATATATAAAATGGCCTATACCAGGGACGGGGCAAACTTTTTCCTTGGCGTGTTAAATTTAATAGCTAAGACGGTTAGCAAAGAATTTGTAAAAAATCAAATAAAAACAAAGCTGTCACGAATGCCCCTAACGCAATCTACAGCTCTGTAGCTGGGTTAAAACACCCCTGAGCTTAAATAGGTAGGTACCAGTTTCGGCAGCAGGTTGGTCCATGTCAGAATATAGGTTTAGTTTGATGTAAGCGGGCCGGATTCCGACCTTTTGAGGGCTGGAGAAAGCCCTAGGGTAGTAGTTTACCCACCTTTGCCACCCACCGTGGCCTTTACACTTAAATCGTTTAGACCAGTGAACGAATTAAACCAATCAAAATATACTTACGGCACGGTAATATTATCTATACAGTATTGTGACTCGGCCCTGTCCTTGAAATAACTGCCTACGGCCGAGCGGGGCGTATCCACGCCCGCCACAGCAGGGCTGCCCGCCTACAGTTTAATTTCATCTACATACCTAATTGAGTTTCTTTCTAGTTTTGTGATTGTAAATATTTTATTTCATATGTAAAAAAAATGTTGTGAATGAATTAGGAAGTGTTACATAAAATACATGTTATTTAAGTGTAATATTTAATAAAATATATATATGTATTAATATAAAAATAAGTCGGGTTTTCCTTCCTGACGCTATAACTTCAGAACGCACGAACCGATTTCCACGGTTTTGCATTCGTTGGAAAGGTCTCGGGCTCCGTGGGGTTTATAGCAAAGAAAATTCAGGAAAAATTATAAAAAAAAAAATCTTCTTTTAATCACCAAACGAAATGTTATATAAAAAGAAGCCATCTGGTGGCTAAACGGAGTTCGCCGGGTTTGCTAGTGTATTAATATAGATTTGAGACAGAAAAATATTTACGCCTCGACTGAGACGCACGAAAAGCTTTATTTAATTAAATAGTATAATAAATTCGCATTCGTATAAAAAGTTTAATTGTTGAAGAGTTCAAGCAACCAAAAGCAGCGCAATATCGACTATTGCTCTTCGACATATTAAATTATGTAGGTATCTACTTAATTAAATCAAATATTCACAATACAAACGTTTAAGCACGGCTAAGGCATTGTCCTAATACAACGCGATAACGCGAATGAGCGATGCGATCATCGTACGAGTCGACGATCAAATATTTTAGTCGCGCGATGCATTCGCGCGACTAAAATGTTTAAAAATCTATTCACGCGACCTTAGTTCGCACGAACGCGCAATCAAACCTATTAATGATGAATAGGTGTCCTAACTGAAGTTCGCGCGATGATCGCGTCGCGTCGATAGGAAGCGGGGAGAGGGGCAGGGCTAACCCGACCAAACTGTGTGTCAATCGCGATCGCGTATTCGCGTTCTATTAGGACACCTAGTTCGCGATGGTCGCATCGTTTAAACGCGCGATGATCGCGTTATCGCGTTGTATTAGGACAATGCCTACCTGCTTAAAAACAATTGACACCGTTCGGTCGTCGCTGCGGCGCGTTCGCGACTGGATGCCCACCGGGTGCCGCGCGAACTCGAGTGGCGTAGGCATGACACGGTTTCCGACCGTTTGTATGAAGATAGAATACTGTATGGATAATATTACCGTGCTTACGGCAATTAGCCAAAAATCTCATGAAATCTAAAAGTAGCGTTTTTTCCGCTTAGGTTTGCGCCGTCCGCGTGATAGCGGAATCCGATGCCGTACAAGAGTTCCTCACCGACTCCGATGACTCGTCCAACCCTTCACCGGTCGAATTGAAAGTTCTCCTACCAGACAAGCAAGCAATCGCCGTGTCAGTCTTACGGTCTACCAACGCTGACGATGTGTATAGAGCCGTCTGCGATAAAATCGGACTGTCCAAAGCTGTTCAGAAGTATTTCTACCTGTTTGAGATCGTGGAATACAACTTTGGTAAGTTAACAGTTAAAACTTTAGGAGGACGTCTTTGAATTGAGGAGCTCGATGGCCCAGATGGTAAGCGCGTTCGACTTGCGATCGTAGAAGTTGAGCAACTTTCGCAATGTTCGGTCATTAGATGGGTGAACAAGAACTTATTATCTCTCATTCCTCCGTGCTTCGGAAGGCACATTAAACTGTTGGTCCCGGCTGCATCTGCAGTCATTAGCACCCACCAATTCGCACTGGGTCCTTGTTGGTTTGGTTGGATGGTTTTCTACCACATGTCGATTTCCAGTTGATCGGTGACAATAAACTCAATGGCGTGGAAAACTCGGTTTCGTGTGGTAGTTCATGGTCCAATCTCCCTATTTCATCCATTGGGAATGCCTGTGCCTCAGCAGTGGGTACATTTATAGGCTGATGATGGTGATGGGTTCAGCCATTTCATACTCTTTAACAATGAGGCGTATTACATTTTGAAATTTAAAAGTGTAAACACATAGTTATATCTTTGTATCAGAACGCAAGCTGCAGCCGAACGAATGCCCTCACTCCCTCTACATCCAGAACTACTCCACGGCTTCCAGCAGCTGCCTCGCCGTCCGCAAGTGGCTGTTCAGCCCCCAGGCGGAGCTGAGGCTCATCAATAAAGACCAGAAGGCGAGGGAATTCATCTTCTGGCAGGTGAGGATTCCTTGTTAAGCTGATTTCACAATAGGGTATTTGACAAGTTTTGGAAAACCATCTCATGTTACTAATAAATATCGAGTCCATAAAAAGTAGATATTCATCATTCTCTTGTGTATTTCAGTAAAAATAACTAAATCTAAAACTCAATTTTCAAGTTGCCACGAAAACGTTTCTCTGGGCAATATGGCGTCTCACTGGGGTGTGACGTCACACGACTGCCATTAAATCGTCAAACGATACAATGTAATGTCACTTTGACCGGAAGTTTACTAGTGCGTGACGTCATTTTAGGCTCCGCCAATCCCAGGCGTTTTCAATCACGTGACAATAGATTTGAACACTATTATCTTTTTCGTGGGTTTTTAGTAACATTATGAATATTTTTTCTGCAATAATAGTCCCCTGCCAATATTCATTCTAAATACAGATGCTAACAATTGGCAATTTATTTTTACTGTCAAATACCCTATTACGAAAGTATCGTTGCAAAATGACGGCATTTTTTAACTATTATCGTATTTTTTTCGTACAATGATATTAATAGTCACAATGATTTTCAAATCGCGCTCTAACCGATTTCATCTTGAATACAGGGTTAATTTTAAAACACCAACAACCTGTTAGGGGGTGATTCTACCCATCAACAGGAACAACTTTTATTATGGGACCAATTCTGAAATCGCGAAAAAAATCTGCTATTTCATACATTTCGGTCGATTAATGTATGAAATAGCTGTTTTTTTTTGTTTGCTGGTGTTTTAAAATTAACCCTGTATAGGTAACATTTTCGTTACGTGTTTTAAAAACGATAAAAATACCTTCGCGAGAAAATCATATCTTTATATATATAATTCTTCTGTGAGTGTGTATGTCACTGAACTTCTCTTAAACGACTGGACCGATTTTGATGAAATTTTTTGTGTGTGTTCAAGGGGATCTGAGAATGGTTTAGATTCACAAAGACGTGTAGACAGGACAACGTCTGTCGGGTCCGCTAGTATAATATAAGTGCGTAAAAAATCGAACACAGCATTACTCGCCTTGATTTTATTTATTTTTTAAGCATTTAACTGCTAGATGTTTAAATCTAAAGAAAAGTTTACTAGAATAAAAATCCACGCGGACCGCGGTTTTTTTTTTCTAGTAAACTTTTCTTTAGATTTAAACATCTAGCAGTTAAATGCTTAAAAAATAAATAAAATCATAACTATAATTGCTATTTGTTCTTTCAAATGTTTAATACTTGAAAAAGTATTCATTTGACATTGTGGGTTACCTACAATGCAAAGAGATGGCGCTGCCTTGCAGCTTAAGGCTGGGAAAATTTCGACGCGGCAAATAGGGCCGTGGTAGCATAATGGTCAGTGCATTCGTCCGGAATGCAAAGGATGCGGTTTCGAGTCCCGTCCGCTGCCTGGTCCGCGTGGATTTTTTTTTTTTAGTAAACTTTTCTTTAGATTTATTACTCGGCTTGCCAAGAGATGACGATAACAGCGAAGCGTCTAATTATGGTCATATGAATAGTATGAAAGGCCTGTACATCGCGCTGACGAAAGGACATGGCTAAGAAACTGCCCTTAACCACGCACTTAGGAGCAGTGGTGATCGGGCTAAAGTCGCCACGCGTCCAATATGAATAGGACGCTGCGATTTCAGCCCTACTCCTGGACTCTGGGCTGTTGTCTGAACGGTTAGAAGATTGGATCTGGTGCTACGTCCGTCTTCTCGAGCTGGACGAGAGCACCACCTACAACTATCGTCTCGGTAAGAGATCTATCATCACAGATAGCAATAGAGCCAACAAGCTGCCGCTAACCTTCCCGCCGCCACGTACCATTGACTTCAAGCTGATTGCAAAGCAGACGCCACACCCGAAGGAGAAACCCCGCAGAAGACGCTCATGCTACTCCTCCGTCCTCATAACGACGTCATTACCCCGAAGCAAGAAGTTCACCTCAGTCGAGAAACCGCCCCCGCAGCCCGAGATCAACGAAAACCGACTGCTTTACCGACTCAGACGGAGTCGGTAAGCTATGCATAGGCCGCAGGAAAATCCGCGCCTACCGCCAATGCTATGCTCGGCGTTTCTCTGAAGGATCGCATTAGAAATGAGGTAATCCGACAGAGAACCAGAGTTATCGACATAGCCCACCGGATTAGCAAGTTGAAGTGGCAGTGGGCTGGCCATATTTGCCGAAGAACCGATAACCGTTGGGGTAGACGAGTTCTGGAGTGGAGACCGCGTCTAGGCAAACGTATTGTAGGACGTCCTCAGGCACGATGGAGTGACGATTTGCGCAAGGTGGCTGGCAGGAGTTGGATGCGAGTAGCCCAAGATCGATCTGAGTGGCGTGCAATTGGAGAGGCCTATGTCCAGCAGTGGACTAGGATAGACTGTTGATGATGATGACCGCCAATGCCGCCGAAAAAACCACGGGCGTGCGTATTACGCCTCAAGATGACGACGAGAGCCGACTCGTCCAGGCTTACCTCTCCGGATTGGAAGGCCAGGCCTCCAGGCTAGTACGCTCACGACCACCCCGAGGACCGCAGCCTTTTTTTTGTCTCTGGAAAATGCCTTACGCATCCTTCAGCCACTGGGGGAGCGAGAAGAAGGTATGTGGGACTCCTCCCCGTCCTCTTCAGCCAGCCCATGAGCTCGCTGATGTGAACAGGGCCCTACCTACGCCCTGAACAGGGCCACTAAAAACCAGACAATACTCGTGCACCGTCACCCGACACGCAGTATGAGGACCGCGGTCCCCCTAGTGCGTGCCGAGAGGGCGAGTGTGGTCGCGGGACCCGTCTCCTCTTGGCCGCGCAAGAGGACCGCAGCCTAAAGGTGGCTAGACACCCTAGACACCATGTCGCTCGACGTTACAGAGGCCCTCGCCGAGAAGGGCTACATAGTTGAATATGCCAAGCAGATTCGGGCGCGAGGAGGCCGCCCCGGCAACCTGTACTTCGCAGCACTTCGCCAAACCCCAGAAATCATCCCGTCATCCCGGCCATCTATGCAGGGAGCGATCTCAAACTATCATAGTTTTCGTAATTGTAAATTATGTTTCTATGTCCATTTTGGTGAAAAGTAACCAAATATACTTAAAATTGAAGAAGACGCAAATGATTTAATGATAGAATTTAAACACTGATGTCGATTCTGGCATGATTCTCTAAAGCTAAACTTAAATTTGACAACGGTGCATCCCTGTCATTCTCTATACAGAATGAAAAGGAGAGACTGATGTTAAATTTAGTTTTAAGTTTAGAGAATCACGCCAGAATCGACACCACTGTTTATTTATATTGAAACGAAAACAAATAAAATCAGTACCCTTGGCACGAGTGCGTTGTAAAACTCATACTAAGGGTACTGGAGAGGAAATAAGACCCCCCGGCGTAGTGGTATCGCTGCCAGGGGTTCCGCCACTCCAGCCAGGGATGTCATCGCCCGCTTGCCTGCGTGCGCTGCGGTTGTTTATGTTTATAATTATAATCTAAATAACATATTTTATGTAATTATTAGCTTTGCTAAAATAACGCAAATTTTATGAAATTTTGGAAACTATGATGTTATATAAAATATAGTAGGAACCGGAACAAGTGTCTGCCATAAAGTTTTGCTATATAAAAAAAAATATATATATATATTTTATAAGGTGTGCTCATTCTGCACGTTCACACGTGCCATGTTGCGAGGGCTGCCATTCACCGATGCGGCTTCGAACAATTGAACCACCCACCCTACAGTCCAGACTTGGCACCTAGTAACTATTATTTATTTCCGAAGAAAGAGCTGCGTGGAAAAAATATTGACGACGTTGAAGAAGTGAAGTCTGCAATTTCGGCCTATTTTGACACCAAAGACAAATCATTTTTTTTCGTTGGTATAAACAAGTTATTTGAGAGATCTGAAAAATGTATTAGGGTTAAAGGAGAATATATTGGAAAGGAAAAATAGATTGGTGTTTAATTTCAACCTCCTTCCCTCTTATTCCGCGAACTTTTTGACCTCCCCTCGTACCACTACACATATTTGGTTGCATCAACAATGGGTATACTTTTCGAGTTCAATGAAAATTACGTAGATAAATCTGCGCTGAGGTGTGGCTGCAAAATTAGAACAAAAATTTTAAACAAATTTCACCGGTGAATTTCGCGGTGAAAAGTGAGTGTTCTTACAGAATAGCACTGCAGTTGTGTTTTTCTTCATGTTCGACGTATTTTTTTGAAGTTAAAACTAAAAAAAAGTAATTTACCTTTAGTCTAGCCATTTTTCTTTACATTGATTTAATAGGTAATCGAACCTCACTGTTTTTAAATAAATACAAATTATTATGAATTAATTAAGGCTATGTGAATCAATTCAAATAGTAAAATGAAGTTGTTGACTTACATGAAATTAACGTATATTGTACCTACTGAAGGTGAGATGTGATGTGATTATCTTTTGACATTTTATTTTATCAATATATTAGATTTTTTATTTTACAAATAAGTATTTTACATAGACTAAGAGATATGCTCTAAGTACAAAAAGACATAACATAAATTTTAATCTATATTTCAATTAGTTTTTGCATGCTGGAAACGGCTAATTGTGCGCTCTGACCTAATCATTTAAAAACATCATTGTAACCACAATAAATGCAAATAAATTTCATTTCATTTGATACCCGCACTCCCGGCACGCATTAGGACCTTAGTCCTCACAATGCGTGTCGGTTGACCGGTACAGGAGTATTGTGTGGTTTTTACAACCCTCTACACAGGGCTAGTAAAAACCAGACAACACTCCTGCACCGGGCGTTAGGTACGGCCCTGCTCATTTCAAAGGGTACGGCGAGAGTGCACTCAGATTCAGAATCAGATTCAGACTCGGAAAACAAGCGCGACAAATAAACAGTGTAGTTTAAGCAGGTTGCCTGCTGCCACTATGGCCAAAGTGCAAGCTATTGTTACATCTGCCATTTTATGACTACTCGCTAGCTGAAGTTCCGTTTTAAACCTACGCTTCGAGTAAAAGTTTTTATTCCGATGTTTCAATGTTGTTATAAAATGTACGAAACATTTGTCTAAGTTGATATTAATTGCACCTGAATCGTAGTTTTTAAAATGTAGCCCTGTGTGTTTTGTGTACGACAGCCACGTGAGCAGGAGGCGCGTTTCATAAACAAAGTTTAGTGTACACATGTGTTTTTGTTGAAGTATCTAAAAAAAATTGTAAATAAAAAGTTGAGACCCGGTTTTATAGAGTATATATATATATATATATATCTATATATATATAACAATATATATAACGATTTTAATCACTGTTTTTCGTCAACATATATGTTTTTGTTCAGGCCGTGGAGGAGGTGAACCGTGGCGTGTGCAGCGCCGGCGCTCGCCTCTACCAACTGAAGGCGCTGCAGAGCGAGACCCGCGCCGCGGAGTATCTCGGTCTCGCTCGCACGCTGCCCGGCTACGGGCACGTCGCCTTCCCGCCCGCCCGCACCGACTGCAGCGCCACGCCCGCGCTGCACCTGACCGTGGGTACGTATAGAGCGAGACCCGCGCCGCGGAGTATCTCGGTCTCGCTCGCACGCTGCCCGGCTACGGGCACGTCGCCTTCCCGCCCGCCCGCACCGACTGCAGCGCCACGCCCGCGCTGCACCTGACCGTGGGTACGTATAGAGCGAGACCCGCGCCGCGGAGTATCTCGGTCTCGCTCGCACGCTGCCCGGCTACGGGCACGTCGCCTTCCCGCCCGCCCGCACCGACTGCAGCGCCACGCCCGCGCTGCACCTGACCGTGGGTACGTATAGAGCGAGACCCGCGCCGCGGAGTATCTCGGTCTCGCTCGCACGCTGCCCGGCTACGGGCACGTCGCCTTCCCGCCCGCCCGCACCGACTGCAGCGCCACGCCCGCGCTGCACCTGACCGTGGGTACGTATAGAGCGAGACCCGCGCCGCGGAGTATCTCGGTCTCGCTCGCACGCTGCCCGGCTACGGGCACGTCGCCTTCCCGCCCGCCCGCACCGACTGCAGCGCCACGCCCGCGCTGCACCTGACCGTGGGTACGTATAGAGCGAGACCCGCGCCGCGGAGTATCTCGGTCTCGCTCGCACGCTGCCCGGCTACGGGCACGTCGCCTTCCCGCCCGCCCGCACCGACTGCAGCGCCACGCCCGCGCTGCACCTGACCGTGGGTACGTATAGAGCGAGACCCGCGCCGCGGAGTATCTCGGTCTCGCTCGCACGCTGCCCGGCTACGGGCACGTCGCCTTCCCGCCCGCCCGCACCGACTGCAGCGCCACGCCCGCGCTGCACCTGACCGTGGGTACGTATAGAGCGAGACCCGCGCCGCGGAGTATCGAGGTCTCGCTCGCACGCTGCCCGGCTACGGGCACGTCGCCTTCCCGCCCGCCCGCACCGACTGCAGCGCCACGCCCGCGCTGCACCTGACCGTGGGTACGTATAGAGCGAGACCCGCGCCGCGGAGTATCTCGGTCTCGCTCGCACGCTGCCCGGCTACGGGCACGTCGCCTTCCCCGCCCGCCCGCACCGACTGCAGCGCCACGCCCCGCGCTGCACCTGACCGTGGGTACGTATAGAGCGAGACCCGCGCCGCGGAGTATCTCGGTCTCGCTCGCACGCTGCCCGGCTACGGGCACGTCGCCTTCCCGCCCGCCCGCACCGACTGCAGCGCCACGCCCGCGCTGCACCTGACCGTGGGTACGTATAGAGCGAGACCCGCGCCGCGGAGTATCGAGGTCTCATCATCATCATCGTCAGCCTATTAATGTCCCCACTGCTCGGGCACAGGCCTTCCCTATGGATGGAATAGGGAGATTGGGCCATGACCCACTACCCGGGCCTAGAGCGGATTGGTGGGTGCTAATGACTGCAGATGCAGCCGGGACTAACGGCTTAACGTGCCTAAGGCACGGAGGAGCTCGAGATAGTAGTTTTTGGTCACCCATCCAATGACCGACCACTGCGAAAGTTGCTTAAGTTCAACGATCGCAGCCGAAAGCGCTAACCACTTGCGCCATCGAGCTCTCGGTCTCACTCGCATTTTTTTGCCACTACAGCAGTGTTTTGTAGTAGTTGCTGTATTTCGTATGTAAATAAATAAATATTTCCAACACTCACACCAATTAGCCTAGCTCCAAAGTAAGCACTATAAGGCTTGTGTTATGGGATACTAGGGTAACGGACATAATACATAAACTTTACATATATAAGTATATTTATATAGAAATACATATTAAACATCCATGACGGGAGTACAAATGCTCGTGTTCATCACACAAACATCTGCCCCCACCGGTATTCGAACCCGGGACCTCTCGAGTCGGCGACGCCATGAAACCCGGCGTACAAACCACTCGGCCACGGAGGTCGTCGATGTAGTACGACAGTTATATGAACAGGATCTATTGTAATTGTATTGTCAACTAGCTGACCCGGCGAACTTCGTACCGCCTTAGCGTAGCTTTGATGCACTACTTTATTTTGTATAGCTGACCTATCTTATGTATGAGTACCTATTCATTGTTAGCGCGGTTATGGATGTGTTGTCACAGATTACCACAGATTTTTTGTTTTAAATTAAATGACGTTGACATTCGTTATGTTATATTTTTCAATCTTTCTGAGAGAATTTCTTTATATTTTTTTCCGTAAGAACCTTGTACAGAGTATTAGAAAACTACAAAAAAAAAATCAGCCAAATCGGGCAAGCCGTTTTCATGTTATGTCGTGACAACGGAAAACGGGTTTCATTTTTATATCATCATCATCATCATCATCATCAGCCTATTAATGTCCCCACTGCTGGGGCACAGGCCTTCCCTATGGATGGAAATAGGGAGATTGGGCCATGACCCACCACGCGGGCCCAGTGCGGATTGGTGGGTGCTAACGACTGCAAATGCAGCCGGGACCAACGGCTTAACGTGCCTTCCGAAGCACGGAGGAGCTCGAGATAGTAAATTTTTGGTCACCCATCCAATGACCGACCACTGCGAAAGTTGCTCAACTTCAACGATCGCAGCCGAACGCGCTAACCACCTGCGCCATCGAGCTCCTCATTTTTATATATATAGATATAATGCGTGTATTGGCAGGTTGGACCGGCCTCACCCTATCCGCGTGGTCGGAAGAGTCCGGCACGGGCCCCGGGGTGGAGGTCCCCTGGGAGAACGTTCAAGAATGGCGCACTGATGACGACGCCGCTGCCATGAGACTCGTGACCACACACCCGCCCCGACCTCCCCGCGCCCTAGCTCTCTATACGCCATACGTGAGTATGAAATGATTTTTTTTTTGGTCAAGTTCTCCCTTTTCAGGGAAGGCAAGGGGAACGATGCCCATACAGCCTAGTCTTAAATTAAGTTATTCTGTTTTTCTTTTTACATTAGAATGTCGATGTGACGCATTCCAATGTTTCTTGAAGTGTTTTGCACGAAATGTATCGAGCTGGCTTTTTCGATAAGCTTCTGTGAGGTAGTCAATACTACAATAAAATTCTCACGTCCACTCGACCGGAATAGCGTATATTTTGACGATTCTACTAATTCTTCAGTTACGCAGACAGTTGTAACACAAAATCACACCAATTTTATTTCACAATATCTACTATGAATGAATTTAAGAATAATTAAAATAGGACGCCAACCACACTCGATGAAATCTCGCCAAAAACTCGTATGAAATGAAATGAAAAGTCATTTATTCAGTCTAGGCTGTTACAAGCACTTGTGAAGGTCAAGAAGCTACGACATCGGTCCGCAAAACTACGGCGGGAGACCTTGTACTGAGAAGAACCGGCAAGAAACTCGGCAAGGGCTGCTTTTTTCTCCCTGTATTGATATATACAGAGTCGTCAAGTTGAAAAATGACTTCAGAGATACTTGTGAAGTGACCTTCCGTTACATTATTTAGGATATAGATATATAGTTACAATAAATTTTATATTTAGTATATAGGAAGCGGCATTAAATGGTACCATATTACTGTTACAAAAATTGACTCATACCCATCAAATAACAAATTACAAGAAAGGCTATGTCCATGCATTACGATCATTTAGATAATCATTAACTTTATAATAGCCCTTATTCATAAGAGAATTCTTGATCTGAGATTTAAATTTGGTTAGTGGAAGCTCAATCAGATCTTGGGGAACTTTGTTAAACAATGCAATACTACATCCCAGAAATGAAACTCTTTTTTTGATATGTCTTATCTATTAGACAAGTCCGTCCGTCTGTCTGTGGTGCTGTTTCAGCGGCCAAACCGTAAGAGATAGATAAAGAGAATATTTAAGTTATAAGTTAAGAATAGTCTGATAAGACTTCAAACCGGATTTGAGTAACGTAGCACTTCCGGTTTTCGAGAAATCACGAATTTCAAACGAAACCACACAAAATCTCCGAAGTTCTCAATTAATTAAATACATTTTTTTTTTAAATCAAGTTTTGGTGAACTTTTGGTTCACTGGTTTGCTAGTTTACACTAACATACAAGCTCTTTATTAAATAAAACTAGTTTTTACGGGTTAATGCACGAAACTTTATTTATTTATTGACGTCGTCAGAAATCAGAATCAAACTTTTATTTAATTTGTCGAGCTACCTTCGAAAGACTTTTATTGAGCGTTCGGTTATTTCATTGTTCGATTTTTAAAGTTTTATTGTCTATGTATGAATTTATTATTTAATTTACTTAATAAAGTATTTTATTTAAAATTCTTTTTTTTAATTTCGAGTTTATTTATTTGACCCTAACTACCGTTAACTAAAAACTAGTTTTATTTAATGAGTGATGTGCATGAAAACCTAAGAAACAAATAAGCTCTTTATTGTTAGGTTAGACTGCCTTCTATCCGCGTGGTTGGAAGAAGCTAGATCAGCCCCTTAGTAAAGCCAACGGCCAACCCAAGGTAGATTTCCATACATCGCGCCCGATTGATCTTTCGCTTGAAGTGTCTCACCGACAGACGTGGCCTACTGCTGTGTCCCGGATGGCGACCACATGTATAATGCGATTCAAATAAGAATAGGAAAGCCAATGACCTCTATCTGACAAATGTCGCTTAAAAAGTACGGTCTGCAAAAAAAACTTGGAACCCTTTTTTTAGCACTCCGCTAATTCTACTAGAATAAAAACCAAACATTTGTAAACAAACAATAATAAATATTGATAAATAATATCGGTAGATATTTTTTTTTCACTTATTGAGTTTGGCCTTGAATGGGTGATAACCGAAATCGTCAACCAAATGTCACTTTAATTTGCGTTCAGAAACTCGATTTCAAACTTATTCATAACTACTCCTGCGGTAAAGCATAAATGAACAAAATAGAGCAAAAGAGCTTGATTCTGATTAGTGTTTTTTCTCACAGTCTTAATAAATAAATATTATTAAAATTCGGGGGTTTTTTTCTCAATCTTAGCAAATAAATGTTCTTAGTTGAATCGCATTATATTTGCTTACAATGTAAGCGAGTATTCAACAAGAGCGACCAATAAGGAGTGGCCTCCGTCTGTGAAACCCATGTTTTTTTTTGAGTGTATGCTCTTGGTCGCAGATGACCTTTACAGCGTCTCTAGGTTTGGGGACGGCGAGATCCTAAGGGGACCTCAAGCCGAGAATTGGCGAGTGCTTCTAGAGGTATTCCAGGCGGATGGCGTCTCCCCGCGGGGGAGGCTCCTCTCCGTCTGGAGCCTCCAGTCGGCTCAACTAGAGGGCGTCTCTGAGACTCGAACCTCGGCTCTAGTTAGCCGTTATCGTGAGGGGCGGGAAAAACGCTCACGTACATACCTGTAGCTGGTATAGCGTGTCGTGTGTAGACCGTCTGTCGTGTGTAGTTAACTGGAAAATCCAAAACTCGCAATAATAATTATAACTTAAATATTGATAATAAAAGGGTTACTTCAGATATTGAAGTTGCTACAGCTTTCGAAAATTTCTTTACTGATATTCCAGTTTCAACTACTAAATCTTTGAACTCTTCCCCCATTGCTGCTGAATCAATCTTAAGAGAAAACGTGAAACCTTGTACTAGTCATTTTCATTTTAAACATGTTGACTTCAAAGATGTAATTAAAACGTTTCACCAATTAAATAAAAAGAAAACCACGGATCTGTGGGGCAATTCCGTTGATGTTTCTAAATCGGTAATTGAGACAATAGCTCCTATTCTAGCTTGCATATTTAATGATTGTGTTGACTGTGGTGTTTTTCCTGACCTCATGAAATACAGTAAAATAACTCCTTTGCATAAAACGGGAAGTACATCAGACCCCACAAACTTTAGACCAATTTCTGTGCTACCCACCTTTAGTAAAATTTTCGAAAAAATCATGTTAGATCAAATGCAATCACATTTTAATAAATATAATATACTTCACTGTAAACAATTTGGTTTTACACGGGGTCGTTCAACAACCGATGCCGGTGTTGAACTTATACAACAAATTTTTGACGCCTGGGAGAACTCGCAGGACGCTCTAGGTGTGTTTTGCGACTTGTCCAAGGCTTTTGATTGCGTTTTTCATGAAACATTACTCAGGAAACTCCACCACTATGGATTTAGAGATACTGATCTGGATCTTATTGCGTCATACCTGATGGATAGGATTCAGAGGGTTGACATTAACGGCAATAAGTCTGCGGGTTCGCCGGTTAAAATGGGTGTTCCGCAGGGCTCAATCCTTGGTCCTTTCTTATTTTTAATTTATATTAATGACTTACCTTACTACGTTAGAGATAAGCATGAGATAGTATTGTTCGCGGATGATACATCACTTTTATTTAAACTCAAACGTAAGGAAACAGTTATTGACGACGTGAACAGTTGTATCTCTAAGGTAGTCCACTGGTTTAATGTTAATAATTTATTACTAAATGAAGGAAAAACGAAATGTATTAAATTTGTATTACCTAATGTAAAACAGGTAAAAACCAGTGTGAATGTAAAGGATAGGAATATGGGCCTTGTAGACACCACAGTATTCTTAGGGATTACTTTAGATTCTAAGCTTCAATGGGGCCCACATATTGATAAATTGTCAAATAGACTTAGTTCTGCAGCATATGCCGTAATGAAGATACGCCAGTTAACGGATGTAGATACGGCCAGATTAGTATACTTTAGTTATTTCCATAGTGTAATGTCGTACGGAATTTTATTGTGGGGAAACGCCGCCGACATTCAAACTATTTTTGTGCTGCAGAAGAGAGCTATTCGATCAATTTATAATCTTAAAATTAAGGATTCCTTAAGAGATAGGTTTAAAGAATTTGGTATAATGACGGTCGCATCACAATACATTTACGAAAATTTATTACTTGTAAGAAAAAATATTAATTTGTTTCTTAAAAACAGTGATGTTCACACACTTAATACAAGAAACAAAAATAAACTAACTTTACCTGCTACTAGGCTTCACAAAATCAATAATTCATTTAAAGGTCTTTGTGTTCGCTTATACAATAAAGTCCCAAGCAATATCCAAGAGTTAAGCATAAATAAATTCAAAGATAGTATAAAAAAAGCACTTATTAAAAAAGCTTATTACAAAGTGTCTGATTATATTACAGACAAAAATGCTTGGGTTTGAACTGTTCCAATCATTTCAACAGGTTTTCTATATTAAATAAATCATGATTGTATTGACGTTGTAACAACATAATGATTTGTAAATGTTGTTACATTATGCTTTTAATGTTGTGGAGTTTTTTTCGCTCGTTTTTCTCCGCAGCTAAAAAATATGTCCAATAACGAGTGGTAGGGAAAAAAAAAATGTTTGGACGATTCAAAAGTGTTGTACTATACATCCAATTTGAATAAAGATATATTGATTTCTGATTTCTGATTTCTGACCGTGTCTTCGCACTCTTATCCTACGGGTGCGGTGCCTGCCTAATGCTAAGCTAGTGTGCACGTTTGCTAGCTGTGTAGTGTTGGTGCTTGTGACCTGTGTGGGAGGAGTCGGAGGCGCTTTGGCACAGGGAAACCCACGAGATTGATCGGCCGCGCTCATCTCGACGCAACGTCTATTGTAGGCCGCACACGTCCGTCGCAGATTTCGCAAACAGGGTCATACATTTTCGAATTGCCATATATACTGACTATTGTTACATCAGCCTAGAGCGTTAGTTTGAAGCATATGATCGTGCGCTTAAGACATCGTCCTGATTGGCAAGCAACGTGCAATGCCACGATGCGTGCTTGCTGGGATTTTCAAACATATTCGTACAAATTTCTTCAAGTGTCCTAAATACATCTTGCTAGCCGGTGCACGAGCACAAGCATTGTTTAATTACGATAGGCTCAATACATATCAATATGTATTGAGACTCAAGTCTCAAGTCTTAGCTCTTAAAATGTTACATAATTTTTCATTGACACTATTGTGGCGGCGACATCTACACGCCCCACATATAATCAACGAAGCAAGACTAGACGTTCCATTACAACAGATGGCGCTACCCGCTAGCGTTCAAAAAGTATAGAAGCCTACATCGCACAATAGAAATTTGGAGGCTAATGCCGCGTATGCATTAACCAACATTTGTTGATAAATTGTTTATAAAGTTCAACACCTTTTTTATAAACAAGTTTACCGTAAACAGCGCGTAACCGCTAAAGTTCTATGAGCATCGAAATTTGGTCTTTGGACCACAATACTTCCATATTTAAATAAACTATAAACATACCGCAACATACGTGTACACCTGTCAACTTTTGTTTATAAACTAAATCTTTCGTCTCGCTCTCCACTCAGAGTGGGGAACACGGCAACATGTATCCGAAACACAGTTTCATCATCTATGTTTATAAACTGTATACAGAAATGAAGTAACATCGTGTAACACTGTTAATAAACAATGTTTCTACACAAATGTTGCCTAACAAATACTATGGCTGAACAACATCATTCGGGCTTCCTAGCTAACATCACCCAGCTCTATGGAATATCATTCTCTTTGACCTTCCTACACTTTTCAAAAAAATTCAAAATTCAATATCGTTTATTCAGTCTAGGCTGTTACAAGCACTTGTGAATGTCGAAAAACTACGTCATCGGTTCGCAAATCTACCTTGTACTCAGAAGACCGGCAAGAAACTCAGCAAGCGCTGTTTTTTTCTCCCTGTATTATATACAGAGACGTCAAATTGAAAAATTACTTCAATATGAGGTAACTCATAAAGACACTTACCATTACAAATGGAAGTAATATAAAAAATATAACTATAAAATTAAAATAAATATATATATATATTTATATTTATATATAAAAAACTGGTTTAACAAAGTTTAGGAATGCCGAGTCCTACCGTTTAGGCAAAAAATAATAATGAACGATTAAAGTTTAGTACAACGATTAATAGTACCCAATGAAGCAAGTGCAGACTCATCTCCGCTGGCAGCACCCGTTCACGAGCATGACGCATGAACCAGCCATCGCTTCGCTCAACCATTTTTTAGGGAACGCAACGACCCGCCTGACGGATCAATACTGGTCATCCCGACATGATCTGGTGACACCGACGTAATCCTAAACTATTAAAAACATCCTTAATCCCTCCCTAAAATATGGTTGAGCGAAGCGATGGCTGGTTCATGCGTCATGCTCGTGAACGGGTGCTGCCAGCGGAGATGAGTCTGCCCTAACTACTTTGATATTTAAGATGTAAATGTTTAATTAAACCTATTATAAAAAACTCTGTTTGTATTTATACTGTGTGACACAGCAATCAAAATGCAGGTGAACAATTAATGTATAAGTTCACTTTATGTAATGAAGGGTGACTTCATGAATCATCTCTGAAGTCATTTTTCAACTTGACGACTCTGTAAATGATAAAACAGGGAGAAAAACAGCCCTTGCTGAGTTTCTTGCCGGTTCTTCTCAGTACAAGGTCTCCCGCCGTAGACTTACGAACCGATGGAGTAGCTTCTAGACATTCATATGTGCTTGTAACAGCCTAAACTGAATAAATGATTTTGATTGATTGATTGATTGATCCACTAATAAGACATCTCACTGTTATACCAACCGTACGTACCTCTTTATCAAATTAACAATTATTAATTATTTTCTACAGTATCAATTCCTCTGCAACTGCATGGACAGAATAGCGGAGGAGGCTAATTGGGTCGACACAGGCGAATAAAATTGCACTCCACTGCTTAGGAAGTAAGACTCAAAATGTATTACGATGTCTCAAAGCGCCGCCATTTTATATATGTTGTTGTCACTATTACGTTTAACACATTTATTGATAAATGCTTACAATAACTGTAACTGTTGCCTTTTTTTTTATTTTTAACTTATGTATTCTTCATCGGAATAACTGATTTCTATAAATACACTGCCAATTCTTCATTACTTTATTTAAATTACAGAAATTCTGAATATGAAATTTTCACCTAAGACAACTTTTATATAAAATGGCGTCGGAACAATCTACTATTAATGTTTTTATATTTATCCGGATTGGTTACATTGCTGTTTATGTATATATAAGTTTTCTAACGTGATGCTGTCTATGTTCTGTGTTGTCAATTATGAGCCTTAATTCAGATTTGGTTCACAGAGACAACATTGAATCTGATTTAGTCTTTGAATAATACTGTGTTTTGACTTCATTTAAATTTGAGTCTTGATACAACATTAATAAAGTTTATTATTGCAATATGCAGTCGTTATTCTAAGCTAAATCAGATCAGCCCTTTGCTTTTAAGACTCTTTATGAATAGATAAGTTATTATTATGTACTTACATAAATTAGTAAATTTCCTATATTCGTTTTGATTTATACATACTGTACACAATATGATATCGAATCTTATTATATTATACTGTGCACATTCCATACTAGCTTAAACTACGAATAGATATATTGGAATGTTCACAGTATTATCTACATAATTCTAAATATAATTAAAAAATTGCATCTCATAATAATGTTTATCTAGATTAATGATAAATCAATTATTCTATAATGTTTAAAAGAAACTTATAGTTAGGTATTCCTTATCGAATAACCGCCTTTATATTCTTACAATATACCTAACTATTAATTGTTTACGCAAATCCTGAAAAATATAGTGCTCTTTCTTATAAAATAATTATTGTCAGTTATTTCGAGTTGATGTGCTTAGTATTATCATTGTCATTATTTAAATATTTATTTCCTTTGTAGATTAGTATTCCAAAAAAAAATTTTTTTTAGGAATACGTCAAAATATTCGTTAATTTTTTTAAGCAAAAACTAATAAATGATAGTTATAAATTTGGATTGAAGTAGAAAGTAGTGGATTTTATTATCTGTTGTTAGCTGGAAATTATTGCATTTTCTCACTGGCAATAGTTTTTGTAGTATGTTTGAGTAGTTACACGATTATAATGTCTAAATGAACTGGTGTAGAACTTAATTAATAAAATGATTAAAATAAATAAGAAATCATTTAACTATTTTTTTGTTGAAATTAATATAAAATTAACAACTATAAAAAATCTGCGGCGAATCATGTCGTTCGCGGATTGAAATAAAATTATTGGAAATTAATAAATTTAAGGCAAAAAAGTTGTAAGACTGTAAAATTTGTGCGAGGAATCAGCCATCAAAGAGCGAGCAGAGTAAAGTGTGCCATTGTACGTTTATATGATAGTTTTCGACATGTTACATTCAAGTCTATTTCTTTTTACAAATCCGTCTTTCATTAATTAGTTTATAACTAAGAACTAATAGAAAATGTTTTTGGTTCTTTGAAATCAGACGTTAAATATTGACATATTCTGTCCGTAAAAATTTAGAAAGTTATATTTAATATTGCGAAAAGTCCAACCATAGAATTACTAGCGATTGTGAATTACCTTAATAATGTTTGTTCTATGCTTATTATATTGTAATCATAAATATTCACATATCTAAGTGTGTTTGTTTGCATGTGCGAATTGTTAGCGAAATTGTTGGAAAGAATGGGTTTAGTACAAAATATTAATCGATAACTAACATTAAGGACTAGCTTGGCTAGTGTAACTATCTGGTTTTCTGGTTGAATATTCATCTTTATTCTGGTGTGATAAGGTTCCCTTTTCTATGTGTCTCTTGTAAAAATTGGTGTGAGTATTTTCATTGTGATAGCAAAATATTTTTTCTGTTTTTTTTTTCACTTTTTGTGGTGTTAAATGCATGAAACTAATATCAAAGTATCATGTATGTTTAGTCGCAGTAGTGTAGAAGCAGAATTCATGTATTAGCTACGGAAGATAACGCCAATTATGTGATATTCTATTCTAAACTCATTTATTCGATCATATTATTACGATCAAATGTGTATCTTACATATCCATAGTTAATGTTATTCAAGATCTATAGAAACGAGTACAATTTATAATGTTATACCTGTTCCTTTATTCACCTTATTTGACTGCTTCTAATTCGAACTATCCCTCAAAGTACTTGTTTGTTAAGTTTTCACAAAACACGTTGAAACAGGTTCAAAATGCTTACTTTTATCACTTTTTTTACGTTTCGCTTTCTTTTAAGGCCGCGTCGTCAGAATTATGATTTTTTTTACTTTTGTCGAGTTACCTTCGAACGACTTTTATTGAGCGCTCAATAAAGTATTTGAAGTCTTTCTGAAAAAAAAATGCGAAACCTCAAAAAAGTAATGAAAGTAAGCATTTTGAATCCATTTAAACGCGTTCTATTTATCCCTTAAAGTGACATCTAGCGGATAGATGTCGAACTAAAACCAGCAAACGCTATGCGAGCATATATATTTATGTAATTTGCAATTTATTCATGTAAGTACACACGTACAAAGCATTATATTGCGGTAATGTCTCTGTACCATTGGCCATTGATTCTTAAATAATTTAAGATCGGTTTTTAAAAACGTCTCAAATACCTTATTGGCGGGGTTAGCAGATTTTCTCCACGCAATATTAAACCTTATAGAACTTATGTTAGGACGAAAAGGTCTTAAATTTAATGTTTTATAAAAGGAGAGTGAGCAATCCCGTTTATATGTAACTACAGAACATTGTAGGTGCCATAAAGCATCGTACGACACATTATTTTTGATTAAAATCATTTTGTAGGCATTGCCAGTAATCAAATCTGGAATGTATATTGATGCAATATACCTATAAAAATATCGTAAAAAATCCAGTTTGAGTAGTAGAATAGTAAGTTTTAAAAGTTTAAAAAGGTACCTTTGATAGTCCGGAATGACGGTAGCCAGGTGGCAACACTGAGACGACAGGTTTACTCAGCCATTAAATCGCGTATGTCGTCATAGTCTATGGATTAATTTAAACGCTCGTTCTATTAATGCGCGCCAAAATCTTCATATTTGTATGGTCTTTGGACCTTGATACACAGTGGCGCCTACTAGTGACGTAAATTTTTCTAAACATCAAAATCGTTAGACGAACTATATTGAAGCGAAAAACAAATTAAATGAAGAAACATCTTTCTTTATAACAACGCCATCTATCGAGCACTGCCTACTAAATGATTTTAGTCAAGATGAAGTTGTCATTGTGCTTATGTCTATAGATAATACAATATTATCCATAATTGCAATATAAGTAAATGACATAGGTCCTGTTAAAGTTAACGATTTTTATTAGCGCGTTAATAGTGATATATTTGCTTACAGAATGATTATATTTTATACATTGTAATTGTTTTATATATAAATCCGATCTGTGTATAAATAAATTTATACTTTTACTGAACACGCGTTGAACCGATTAGAAATCGTATTTCTAGTATATATATGGGTTATTATTGGTTGTTTCTTGCTAGCGTTATATACTAAAACAATTTTGTTAGACCGCATTTTTGATAGCGTCCCTTTGAATCTTAAGTCGATAAGTTTATTCTAATGAAGTGTTTAATAAATACACATTTGGAAGTACATATTGGTGGATTTTCAGTACCCCCAATATTTGTGTCGTCCAGTTACTGGTGATGCTAAGTTTGCATTTTGATTTCCAGCTTTGATATTGTCAAAGTGTTAGGTCATTTTCGTTTGAAACGAGGGTCGTATTCACAATAGAGTTTATAAAGTTAGTAGGCCATATTTAAAAATTGTCTTAAAGGACTACCGAAACTAAAAGCGGATAATACATTGCAACGCATTACTGTTAATATGAGTAGTTTATGTGAGAAAAATCATTATTAAGTCATGCTGATGCCGCAGTCCCATGAAAATTAAACTATTCCTACACGAACAAAGAAATTTGGTGACTCATTTCTTTGTCGTACTATTCGTAAGTGGAATTCTTTGCCCGCGCACGTGTTCCCTCCTTCTTATAATCTGGGGTCCTTTGAGAGAGGTGTGAAGAAGCATTTTTGCAGGCCGGCAAGGTGAGGATGGTTGATGTGGCAGTTTATAACTGTTGTACCAGCTATCTTCGCGTTTGGATTTAATCACCACTTAATATCAGGTGGGGTAGAGTCATTTGCCTACCTCGCTATAAAAAAAAAACACGCTAATCTTGGTCGTAAACAGGGGGCCAATCGCCTAACGGAAATGCTATGGAAAACGCTAACGCTTACGATTTTATTTTGTTATTTCTAGCCGCCTGAGGTATTCAAATGCCTCGCGCTCTTTCTTTTGCATTGGTAATAACAATATTAAAAAAAAATGAGCGTGAGGTATTCGAAAACCTCAGGCGGCTAGAAATAACAATATAAAATCGTAAGCGTTAGCGTTTCCCAAAGCATTTCTGTTAGGCGATTGGCCCCCAGATATGCCGATTGGTAGATTACCCCTTTGGTTTCGATGCATTGTGTGGCTATAAAACTAAAGTTATGAGTTATTTATTAACCGTGGTGTTTAATAATAATTGTTTATTACTGTCACCACCAGATTGGTCAGAAGCGTCTTTTTTTAGATCAGGATTTGTTAACATGTTACTAGCTAATTGCTATCTTGATATTTAACTCACTGAGAAAGCCATGACCAGAAGCGTCTTTTTTTGAGATCAGGATTTGTTAACATTTAACTGGCTAATTGGTAGCTTGTTATTTAACTCACTGTGAAAGCCAAATTTTCGAATGTTACGGTAGTGAAATTTAAACCTGCTATTCGTCCATTGTTCCGTATAATGGCCCATTTACATTCAGCCAGTCTCGTTTCGTTGCTATAGAGTACTAGCCATAATGCTACTGTAGCAACGTCAAGAACAGTGTATGTTCACATAGTCGCATCTTGTTGCATTGAATGAGTGAGAGTGTGCAAGTAGCAACACTTGCGCTTGCTGGACTCTTTGATGTAGGGAGAACGATGGGCAGCGCTATCGTCAACGGCAACTGAAGCAACCTGCTAAGCTAATGGAAAAATCGTAACTTAATGGTATCGCTTTTTGTCACAGATTTTTGTTACAGTTTTTGTTACTAAAATATTAAATAACAAATGCATATAGATAACAATATCTAATGAGTAATAATAAGTAACTTTATTCATTTTTGAATATTTCCAATACTCACATCAATTAGCCCAGCCCCAAAGTAAGCATTGTAGGCTTGTGTTATGGGTTACTAGGGTAACGGATAGAATACATATACTGATACATATATAAGTATATATTTATATAGAAATACATATTTAACATCCATGTCTGGAGTACAAATGCTCGTATTCATCATACAAACATGTGCCCGAACGGGGATTCGAACCCGGAACCTCTTGAATAGGCGGGCGACACGAAGTCATTTGTGATTTTGTTTTTTAGTAATAATGAGTGTGTCAGAAATCAAAACTACTAAAACATCATTGATACACGATTTCACTTTAACCTAGCAGACTCGACACTCTGTTTACATGCTCGCATTGCCCATTATAGAGCCGCTTCGCTGCTAGTTGCCGCGCGAATGGGCTGAATGTAAACGGGGAATAATATAAAAAGGAAATTACGTTGCAATGTTTTATTATCTGCCTAGCGATCTGTTCATGACAGCCTTTCATGACAAGTACTTAGTACATTATATTCCTATCATATGTGTTTATTGTTTGAATATGAACATATCTGTAATGTTTATTTGTTTGGAATATTCACCTCCATTGCATAAGGGTATATATTTTTTATAATATATTTAAAAAGAAGACCATGCTATAAAATCACTACGTTCAATTGAAATTTTTATTCAAAGGACATTGGGCAAAACTGTATGGACGCTGCACCTAATAATAACCACGTAGTGATTTTGTAGCATGGTCTTAATTTTAAATATATTATAAAAAAAATATACCCTTATGTTTATTTGTTGTGTGTTATTCGAAATCGTGCAATGTATGAAATTTTTGATCGACTTTAATTATTATAATTGTTATATTTAAAATGAATTTGCAAACATACTGTTTTATCATTCACACATAAATATAAGCTGCAATGTATTCTTTGTCATTCAAAATGAATGAAAAATATTTTAAACTATATGTTATATTAATAAGCTAAGTATTTTTAAAGAACTATTTTTAAGTTTGTACTGCGTGATTTATTTATTATGAAATCCTATGTTTTACGGTCAAAGATCTGTTTTCACGTTTTTAATGAAATTATTAGATATTTTATTGTTTTAATATAGATATCTATGCGTCTTGGTTTGTGATTGTTGTGTAACCTGAATTCTTCTACGGCCATAGAGAAGAAAAATTTGAAGTTTTTTTTTTAATTCTAAAAGTAATCCCATGAAATGTATTATATAACACATTCCATTCATTAGTATATAGCGGTTTCACATCATTCACATCCATACCTATTAAAAATAATGATATGTTAAAATAAGTAATATTGTATGTTGAACACAGTTGTTCGTGTGAACTAAATTCAGTATATAGGTTTTGCTTTAATCAATAAATATATTATAATCTAACAATTTGTTTGCTTTCGATTGAGACAAAAAATATTCTCTATTGAAGTGAAAACTTCTTTTTAGCGGCGTTGTACACTTTTTTTGTATGAGTAAAAGATGTTAAACTCGCGTCAGGTTAATCACGTGGGCTGATCGCATCATGCTACACAATAAAATTGGAAAGGTTATTGACTTTCAATATATTAGATGAAATATTTAATAATAGGTCTCTATCTAGGACGTCCACGTGGCAGCTTTATTGCGAAGAAAATTCATTTTTTTTACAATAGATGTCGCTTAGTGCGCTTAAACGTGATTCATGTAAGTTGATTTTTCTGAGAGATAATCTTTTTTAATGTAATATAAATTGTCATGTTTGTGTACGATAGCGCAATAAATAAATATTGTATTCTACCACATACATGATAGTACTTTTATACTGATAATTAAAGCAATTCGTGCAAAATTATTACCTAACCATTCCAAAATATCAAAAATGCACAACGTTAATATTCAAGTTTTCACTTCTGCCGGCACTCCCGGAGTGCAACCTGTCGTTTTTTTTAATGGCCTTAACGTCTTGGTTAAGTTTATGCTTTATAGTTTGGTATTGTCTATATGAGTTTTATATTATTTTGTCCCCTTTGCCTTATCCATAAGGCAAAGAGGACACCCCGTTTAAAAGTTTTTTTCCCGCCAGGGAAAGTACCTTACGACGAATTTATAACCAAGTCATTATTTTAACTCCAGAATT